AACACACGTCACATTTCCCAGATCGACACGTGCAGTTTTATTTATTAAACGGCAAACTCCATTTTTTAAAAAAAGATCAGCTTTCTCTCTACCATTAAAGATTCCCAGAAATCCTCTCCTCCTGTAATCTCTTCACTCCCTCCCACCCGGGAAAATAGATAAAGAAGAGCCGAGATGATTAAACAATGGCATAAACTTCCATTTCCACTCTGTCGTCTGCCTGTCAGAATGTCAGGGAAGACACTCTAGGTAAGTCTGGAAACACCGCAGGAATTGGGATGACTCTTCAGTTCTGACGCTGAAGATAGGAGTCAGGTCATCTGAGGGGGCCGATTTTATCTTGATCCTGGGTGGTTCTGGAACTTACCCTGATCCTTGGCGTCCCACCTCTGTGCATATTAAATCCTCGGCCCCGCAGAGAGGCTAACAGCTCACTGTCTAGGATTCCCAAGGAAAAGTTCACACAGCCCTCTCTTTTATAAGGTCCTTAACTACAGAAATTAATACAGGAAAAAAAAAAAAGGGACTTTCTTTGAGGTTGAAGTAGTTCAAATACAGCCTCCATGTAGGTCCCCTAACCTCTTGGAGGAAACACACACACACTTTTCAAGGGCCTAGGGTTTGAGTTCCAAACCTGAACACCAAGGAGACGTGAGTCATCTTTTGGCTCAAAGGCCAGCTCTGAATTCCTCCCCCTGGGATTCAACATCCTCCAATTATATGAAAAGTATTCACTTCGGGTAAATTCACTTGATTTCCAAAGAAAACTAATTCCGGGGTGTCAGTCCCCACCCCAGTCTGTCCCCTACGTACACCCTATTAAACCCCGGGAAGTTAGGGCCACAAGGTACGTTTGATAGGAAGACTGACCACAGACCTGCTCTTCACCCGCAGCCCCGTCTAGGCAAGGGGAGGAAAGCAGTTTAAAGAACCACAATGATCTCTGTTCCACTTCAACCAATTCTTATTTCACTGTGTCATTTTTATTCAAACTGGTTTATGTGTATAGACCACACCTAAAAGACTCCCAGAAAGAGCCCCAGAATTCCAAGAATGTATATTCCAAGGGCTAGGCCTGCAACAGTGAACTCAGGGAGGCAAAGTAGAAAATGGCCCCAGTGAGATGTTTCAAATTTCTGCCCCAGTGTTGCCCAATCGGAAATGCGATGCTTAAGATGGAGAACGTATTTGCCTTGGTAATAACTCTGTGGAACATTACCCCAAAATAGACCCAGAGCCACTTCGGGGATGCCCCTCTGGCTTTATCTATTTCATGTGACAACCAGAATGCAAGTCACCCTGCATTCCAGCCCTAACTGCCCTATTCCAAACCCAAAGCCTAAAGCTCTTTGACCCTGCTCCGTACAACCACAATTCCCAGAAAAATCCATCCAAAATGGTGGCACAGGGATCGACAGCATCCAGGAACAAATACAAGGATGAGAAGGAAAAGCACCCAGGAAAAGCAGATATAACCTCTAAATTCTGTAAATTGGTGGTATATTCTACTATCCCAAACAGATTTGATGTGGGAGAAGTAGGAAAGCATTTTTTTTTCCTGAAGCTACCGACGTCGTAAACTAAGGTAGGCTCCCCTAAACGTGACTTTGTTTTCTATTTCACAGGTTGTAAGTTCAGCCAAGTTAACCAACCAAAAAATGGTCCCAGAGGCATTGTCTCTGCCATTCCTGAAGTTAAGAGATGGACTCTGGTTCTGTTTACAATATTCCAAACACCCAGGCATAGCCTTCAGGAACCCATTCCGCAAATGTGAAAACCTGGGCTATATTGCACACCAAAACAAGCGCCTAGAACATGTGGAATTCATCCCTGCTGGTGCCCAATTCTGTGCATCAGGGGCATTCGGTGTAGGCCAGGTTGAGGGACTGAATAATTGATCAGGGCCCAACAGAAGGTTTTCCCTCTGATACTTGTCATTGTGAGACTCCATCGTCTGTTTGCGAAGGAGTACCTTTTGTTTTAAGTCTTCAACTTTCTGACCACCAACTCAGGCATTTTTCTGCAGGGGAGAGAAAAGCCAAAACCACACAAAAAGCCCTCTGGGTTTGAAAGAAGGGTTGCAGAGTCCTGAACACCTCAACTCTCACGTTGGCCCCCTCCTCATCTAATTTTGCAGGCCATTAATCCAGGATGGGCAGTAGAGCATTTCGGTATTTGCTTTCACATTAAAGTGACTGAGTAATTCATGAAAGTTGGCAACCGTTCGTGCAAGTAGCAAGCCCTCTTTCCTCCTTTCCCCACTCCGTGTGGCGTGTTCACATACCCTTCATGGGGCTCCCCTGGCCCCCCTAGGGAGCTTCGCCTTCCCTTTCTGCACGTAACCTTCGCAGGCCCTGTGGGGTGACTATGCTCTCAAAACCGACTTAGACTGCCCACTGCCACTGAGGACCTGTGTGGTCTAAGAGCCATCATCTGTTAAGGACAGAAAAAACACCTACAGAGGCCTGAATCCCAGGCAAGCTACATAGACGCGTCACCAGCTTTATAATAAGGAAAAGTACATTTTGTTTTCCAACCTGGTCCACTGACACTGGAGGGCAGTTCCCACTCTCACACTTCAGTAGCCTAGCTTCTTAAAAACAAAAACAAAAACAAAAAACAAGCCCTTCTAAAACAAAAGCAGCACTTTCACTTTCCTTGCAACCTGTGAGCTGGGAAAGGTGACAGGAGGAAGGGCGGAGGGACCCTCCTGGTTATCCACACGCAACCCCCCAAACTCAAACAATAGCTTTTGTGTCAGAGGGGCCTCCCAGCGTGGGCTAGCTGGAATGTTGGAGATGCCACTGTGTTGGAGTTAATAATATATTGTCACAAAGGAATTTCAGCCTGAACTCGGGAAATTCTCCTTCCAGGAGCTTCTACTTTTCCCTCTTCAAACTTTCCTGCTCTGTCTCAAAAGAATAAGAACTCACTGTCGTTTTTCTCCTGGAGGCTTTCTCCTTGCTTCCTTCCAACTGTCTCCCCCTGCCCCCACCGTGTGAAATGAGCAAAGAAGCCCTGATGAGGAAGGAGACAACCACAGGTCACTCAGTGAGTTTTGTATAATCCAAGGTTAAGAGGCTCCAGATCCATTTCCAAAGTGACCCACCCTTTCCAGAAGGGACTGCACACCCGTGGGCCTGTGTTATGTGCTCCAAAATAAAACCAGACAGAGAGCTGTCACTACGAACACAGCCACTTGGCCGAGCATGGAGAAGGTCACAAAGGCTGGTGTAGGGTTGGAATGGGAACGGAAATGAGGTCAGGAAACGGCACATGGGTCTCCTTGTTCCCTCCTGCAATGCACCCCGAGTCCCTCTGTCGAAAGGAAATGGAAGGGAAACCCGGGAGGTGAGGATAACCAGTATCTCCGAATCACGCATAAATTCCATACTTCAGGGAGCTTCAGGGTAGTACACTGGGCAACCCCAATGTACACACACAAACACACACACACAGACACACACTCTTCCCTGGTCCCTAATCTCTCAGTTCTCAAGTCAGGTGTTTGTAGTTAGGTCCTTATCCCATCCAGAGGGAGACCACAGCCACAGACCCAGCAAAGGAGTTCTTCCCTTCCCCAGGTAAGCCCACTGCAGGGGCTTTCCCCAACACCGGTCTCACAGCCAAATGAGCTTGTGAACACGGAGACGGCTGAGGATCCGAGACAAGGAGCTTGCTCGCTCGGTTTTTCCGGGGCCGTGTTTGCCATTTGCGGGAATAAATGAAGCATCAGTAATCTCCATAAAAGAGCTTTCACGCTTCATTCTCTGAAACTAAGTTGGGGCTTAGACGGAAAAGAAAAAAGGGACTTTTAATTTAAAGTAATGATCATCAACACTCTGGCTCTAGAGGGTCTCTAAGGGAGAAGGGGGTCCCCCACCCCACCCCAGGAAAATGGAGGGAGAGGACCATGCAGTGCCTGGCCAGGCCCATCTTGCTTTGCATGGATTGGTGGGCCAAATTCAAATGCGGGCAGCTCTCCTAGGAGGAGGGCAGTGGTACAAACAGCTCTCCCTGGGGTGACTGAGGGAGTGCGGGAGCCAGGCTGGGGAAGAGATGGAGACTCGCCCTGTGCCCAGAAATCACAGCCATCTCCGTGTCTTCTCTGCCCCAACATCCCTGCTTACTTTCATTGGGTGGCTGCTTCTGTTTGGGGCCAAAGTTTGCAGCAGGGTGCACAACGCACGTGCCTCCTTTCCCCACACCGCATCCCCAGGTCCTGCCAGGTAGGAGAGCCACAAAAGTTTTATTCCCCAAAGTGAACTTCGCTTACTTTAGCTGAATGAAACTGGCCTCGGGGAGACTGTATCCTTCAAATTCTCCCCTCCCCCAACACTCACCCAGCACCTTGGGCCCCTCACTTCCCTGCCTCTGACAAATCACCACACACTAGATATGCCCCGCCAATGACTTCCACCCGGTGAGGGCATTTCAGACAATAAATAAGGAACTCGAGGCCTGATGCCAGTGGAACTGGGTCCAGCCGTCCTCTCTGGGGTATCTACCTCCCGATTCCCCTGGCTTCTGCCTAAGGAGGAGACGCCACTGGGTCAGAGCCCAAGGTGAGGAGCACCTTCCGCGGAGGCTGGAGGTCGATCTGCAGCGGGGCGCAGGCTTGGAAAAGCGAGAAAATTGTGGAAGGACGCGTCACAGCTAGGCCCAGGCCTCTTGTGCGCGCCCTCCTTGCCCGACCGCGCCCTTCTGGAAGCTCCGCAAGGCCTGGGCGGAGAAGACGCAGAGCGAGAGCAATTCGGCGCCGCTGGTTTTAAAGAAATTCCAAGTAAACAGTGAACCAGAGCGGGAAACCGCAGCTGTGCATAGGGAAGTGACTTGGCCAAATTATCTCCAGAAGAGGATCGGGAAGGTGGGCAAACGTCTGGGCCCCGAAGGTGCTACCTTTTACCGAGGGAAGAGGTAGCAGGGGATTGGGCGGCTACTGGCAACTTTTCCTCGGCCCTAAAAAGGATCCCGCCTGGGGGATTTCGGAAGACGCTCACCTAGTCCGGGAAAATTCAGCTGGCGGCCCTTCTGGGGCCAGGGCCGCCCCAAGCACGCAAGGCGGAGGCAGGCGCGGGAGCCCTCTGACGCCTGGGCCTTCGGGCAGGCCAAGGGCGCGCAAGGCGCTGAGCCGGCGGGTCCAGCCAGGGAGCCGAGCCAGCGAGGGCTGGACTCCCCGTGGTGTGTGTGAGCGCGAGCGCGCCTCGTCTAACCGTTCAGGACAAGTTGAAGCAACAAAAATGAAGTCGATCTCCCAGCCTGGAGGTCCACCCACCCTCCTCCCTGTTTGACCCCAGGCCCGGCCGTTCAGAGCCGGGGCGTCTGCCGCAAGATTGCACAGCCGATGCGCATTGCTGCCAGGGGAGGGGCGCGGGAGCCATGGAGTCAAAGAGGAGCAGGGGGTGAAAGGAGAACGTTGCGGGGAGGAGGGCAGCGTGGCTGCCTCCAAGGTCAGCGCTGGTCCCTGGAGCCGGCTGGGAGAAGACAGGAAGGTCGGAACGCGCCGGCCTCCCTCGGAGCCGCAGGGAGCAAACTTGAGAGCTGGGCCGGGTGAGAGAGGAGAGGGAAGGCGGGGAGCCCAAGGGACGCCCGGGCACACACACAGCGGAGGCTGGAGAGCTTGGCCGCAGGAGGGTGGCCTCCGGAGCGCAAAACGGAAACCTTGGAGCAGAGGACGTGGAGGAACTCAGGGGCTGGGAAAACCATAGAAGATGACAGGAACGCGAACCCGGCCTAGACACAAATCGAAACTGCACAAAGAACAGTCGCTTAGGAGAACCTGGCGGGGGGCGGGGGGGGGGCGATGGCGGGGAGGGGAGAGGCTGCGGCAGGAGCGCGGGTCCTGTCGCTTGCACGGAGGTCGGGCGCGAGGACGTGGCCGCAGTGGCAGTGGCCCTTCCCTTCGCGTCTCCAAGGAGCGGAGGCTCAGGAGCCGCGGCCCGAGCTGGGCGAGCAGAATTGGGGTTTCGCGGTGCCTGGGGGGAAGTAGAGCCCCAGATGCGTTCCCGTCTCCAACATCCCACTCGACAGAGGGGACTCGGCGGCGGTCGGGGCCTGTTGCCTGGGCCGCCCTGACCGGAAGTGCATCTGGGAGGCGCCCTCGGCTCCAGGCCACAGGCTGCTCAGCCAGGCTGGAGCAAGGCCAAAGTCGCTGGGCAAAGGCGGCCTGCTTCTGCCCCCAACCGCCTGGGCACAGGTGGGAGGGGAATGAGGGGAGGCAGACACTGCAGATGGTGGAGGGCGGGGTCCTTGACTGGGGAAAAGAGAAGCGCCCCCCCCCCCCAGCAACCTAACCTGAGACCCGGGTGGAGTGGGGTTCCAGAGCGGGAGAGCCCGAGTTGAGCCCTGATTTAAGAGGTTGTGGTGGGGGGTGGGGGAGTGCAGGACGGGGAGGTGGGGGTTGAGGATCACTTCTACTTGAGATTTCAAAAGACAGGCACTAGCCCAGAACCCAAGCCTGTGCCCTTCCCTACCTTGTGCCAGAGTCTCCGTATGGTAGAGACTTAATACTGTGAGGTGCCAAGGAGGATCAGTCTGTAGTCTAACGATGCATTATTACAGTGTAAATTTTCTTGTGGTTCTGTGTGACCTTGGCAAGATGACCCTGGACCTCACCTTTCTTATCTGTAAAATGGGGATGATACTATCCAACTCAAACATATGAGGTTGAATGCAGTAAATTATGCCAAATAGCTAGCAGTTTGAGCTAGCAATAAATGGTTAGTTGTTCATTTTAAATTTCTGTAAGTGTCCTCTTCTGAACTGCCTCCATCCTGTCCAATGGACAAGTCTTGCTCATGGAAGTGAAGGAGAGTGGACAGGGTTGATTTCTGAGACTTGCTTTGTTTTCTTCAGCATCTAATTACCTTCAGCTTGGAGTCATGGAAACTATTAATGGCGGCTTCTCCCCAGCCTGTGCAGGCTGCCAAGCGGCAGCAGACCTTTATCGGTCAAGTTTCCCATTGTGTCAGCTTTATCAAATGGCAGAACTGGGAGTCTTTCTGCTTGCGTTGGTTGGTCTCTGTCGGGGCCCTAGCCCACTCTTGCAGCCACTGTGGCCCAATTTTAAATACCTGAGGGTCCCTCGCTTCCTGGGACTCCTTCCGTCTTGGCCGGAGGGGTCTCCTTCCCCTCTGCGCTGTAATTGTGTTCCTTGGGCACCTGCTGTATAGACTTCAGGCCTCAGGGAGAAGGAGGGCACCCTCCAGTGCGCATGCATGCATGGTGGCAGGGGGTAGGGGGCAGGAAGAAACTGCCAGGGAATGTTAGCTCCTAAAAGCCTGAGTGAGTTTTATCCCATCCCCAGCAAAGTTGAGGAGGGGGGATGCTCTCGCTCACCACCTCCCTGCCCCCCCCCCGCCCATCCCTCCCCACCACCCCATTTTGCTACCACCCCCCCCTCCTTCCTACCATTAAGAGCCTGGTCTGGAGTGATTGATAGTTCTCTTTTCAGGATAAGATGTGTGTGCCTACGCACCCACAGTAAATCCCAGCTTTTCCACTGACTTGCCTAACCCAGAGGCTTCCATTACTGTGGTCCGAAATCTTCCCAAATGTCCCCAAAGCAACCCACCCACCTATCTGTGCTGAGAATCCCTGAGGTCCACCTCCAGGGTGACAGCTCTGGCTGGAAAGCCTGCACTTAGAAGCAAATCCAAGGAGCCCACTGTAATGGGCCAAGACTTACCAAGCTCTCTGAGAACTCTGTTTTTAGGAACTTTGTCCCCTCCTGCCCCAGGCCTGCTATTCCCCCAAGAGAGCCACTTGGGAAGGTGCAGGGTACACTGTTTAAGACCAGACAGAGCTGTACCTGTATGTCTTGTGTCTGAGCTTAGAGTCACCTGAATCCAGCTGCCTCCTGGGAGAGGGAAGGGGCTATCCCATCACGCCTCTGGCTACCCTGATTGTTGTCTTCCTGGCCCCCACCCAATCAACCCACCCGCCTCCATCCCAGTTCTCTCTGGTGGCCTCCATGGAAGGGGCAGACAGGTGTGCGCTGGATACCAGTAGGTGTATTCCTGGACCATGCACAAAGGTGTGCCAGAAGATTCTACACAGGCAGTGTCCTTGTGCTTGCTGGGGACACACCTCCGTACATCAACCCATGTACATTTCTTTGTATACATGTGTGTATTCTACATGTGTGCACGTGTGTACACGTGGAGGAATGCACGCTTGTGCTCTCTGATGTGCAGAAGCTATGTATGTGCAGCGTGGCTGGTTGTGTGCAGTAACTTAGTGGAGCCCTGGGAAGGACACTGTACTCCTAGGAAAGCTGGGGGTGGGGGAGTTGCCTCTTACTTGCTGTGTGTTTTTGAATGAGGTACTTACTCTCTCAGGATTTCCCTCCCACCCCGCCATGCTCCCCCAACCCCCCCCCCCACTCCTGCCTGTGAAATGAAACCTTTTTATTCCAGAATCCCTGAGGACCCCCTCCGACAATGGGACTTCATTAAAAGACTGGCCTAAAGCATTTGGGGGAGGAGTGAGAGTTGGCAAGAGTCCCCAGCCCTCTCCCTTTCCACAAGTTGCCCCAGGAGAGTAGCCCCCTCACCTGAGTTCAGAGTGGGAGAAGAGCAAAGTCTCTGTTGGGGGTGCGGAGGGTTGGAGTAACACTGTGCCCCCAGAGGGAACGTCCATTCTGAACCCACCCTGAGGTGAGGCAAGGCTAAGAGAGGGCTGCTGCTGGGCCTCCCTGCCCCTCCCCACCGCCCCCAGGTCTGCGCAGAGTGGAAGGCAGCCTCTCTTGCCAGAGGAATTGGTTTTCTCCAACACATAAAGGAAAATCTAGGCTAACCATTGCAGAAGCTGATGACTGCTCTAGAGAACCACCTTCATCGAGGGTAAGGAGGCTGGCTAAGGCCTCTCCACCCCATAGCCGTGGCCTCTGGCCTCCAGGAGTCAGCCAAGGGCTTACCCCTGCCCCTGCAAGTAGGTCTTTTACTGAGGGCATTGAATGGGGGAGTTGGGGTTGGGGGAGACTGGGACACAGTGACGTCCCTGGTGAGATGTCTCTGGAAGTCCTACCATAAGGCAGGGGACTGTGGGAGCCGGGTAGGGGGGGGTAGGCTAGCAGGCCTGCTCCTTCTCTGTGTCCTGGGCAGCCTAGCCTGGGGACCTGAGAACTGGCCACATATGCACATGCTCACAAACACCACACAGTCACTATTGGCAACCATACAACCCAAACACACACTTCCACCTCTCAAGCCTGAACAAATATATTTAATGCCTCCCCTGTACAAAAGCCCTCTTGGCGTACAACCCACAAACACAGAGGCACAGACATACCAGGGACCTCCACACACCCCCATATCCCCTCCTCTATCTGCAGCCTCCCCCTTGGCCCTACGGATGGATGGAACGAAGGAACGAAGGGGAATTTTGAGCAAGAAAACAGAGACCTTTGCCCTCAGAAAGAGCCAGGAATCGATACTGTTTAGACTCGGCTAGTATGTATTTCCTTCTGGGCTGAGGAAGATTTAAGTTTATGGTTCAATCCGATCTTTTTTTTTTTTTAAGGTAGAAAATGAGGAAGTTGGGATAGCACACTCCACTATTTATTTTGATGCAACCTCAGACTTTTTAATACACAGGAGGCTCACTAAGCCTGCCCCATAAATCAGAGGAATCAATGCCTGTTTATGATTATTATTACTTTCTTTTTTTAGAGGGGGAACAAAAAAAAGAGGTCTGACCTGAGTCCTCTTCTTCTCTCCTCAGCCCCAATCAGGAAGAAGGGAAAATGGGGATGAGGAAGGCAGGGAGGTAGGAAAGTCAAGGCCTGGGTCAGATTCCCGAGGTGGAGGCAGGTGTTAGGAGTAGAGATGACATAGGAAAAGACACACAGCCACAGAAGAGCCATGGACCAAAGATGGTAAGTCAAGGGAGCTTTAGTTTCCACTGAACTAAGAGGAAAATTCTCTTCGCCCATAGTGGTTGGAAGATAAAAGGAGTTATAGGGAAGAAATCAAATTACATAATAATGACACATCTATAAGCTTTACTAATACCATCTTAGGAAACGGTAATCACCTCCTCCTTCTCCCAGGGTTGAAGGGAAGAGCTCTTG